CCCCCTAAAAAAAAACAAACAACCAAGCTATGCTTTCTAATCTAACAAAAGTCCTGGTTCAGAATGAGTCGCGTGCCAGTCCAGCAGTTTGCCCGCGGACTGCCCTCTTCACCCCGGGATGAGCGGCCGGTCAACACACCGGGCACACACGCGCCGCCCCTGGGTACACAGCGCCTGTGTGGTGAGCTCAACCCCGCGCTCTGTCACCGGCGCTTCCACAAACTTGACTTCTGACACCCTTGTTATTCTAATGGAGTGTGCACACATGCTCCAGCATCGAAAGCCGCCATGTCGTTACCCCGTATTGGGTTTTTTAGGGATTTCGATTTCCTTCCTCCGACTTGGAAGACAATAGTCTTGAGTTCATTTTTAGTTTAACAAAGAGTTTTACGGCACTTGCAACACAATAAGGTCTTAGAAGTACCGAAGATTAGAGACGATACAAAAGAGTAACAAACACAAAAAAAAGAAGGAGGTGAGATAGAGACGATAGTTTTTTTTTATAGGAAGAAAGAAGGAGCAACGACATTTTGCAACACACTCTTTTGTTGAGCCCGGGCATGATTCGTTGAAGTAGTAGCTAAATTAGAACCTACATATCGCAACGAATAAGGTTTGTTTGAGTAAAGAGAAGCAGATTCGACAAAATAAAAGTTATTTAAACTTGGTCAACAATACAGAGGTGGAACCTCTGAATTCAACGTCCATTTCTGGCTGGACCATGCCAGATGGTGAAATGGCAAAAGTCTAAATCCCCTGTCAACACTGTTAGGTTATCCAAGAAACAGGACCTCCGAGTTTGACATCAATCTCCGAAAGGACCGAGCCAAGTGGGAAATACATGTAAAGTGCCTTTTCCAGGGACACGACGTCGGACCGAGCTAAGTAAGGCTCGAACCCCCGAACCCGCAATCTCACGATTACGAGTCTGGTAGCCTAACCATTAGGCTACCGGCACCACTGAGACAAATAGGTTGATAGAGAGACTTGAAGACTCAACAAAACGACCCGAGTTCAAGAACAGCCAGTTCGGGATTCGAACCATGTCCATCTACTATCGAACATTATGGGCCATCAATAGGCGGTATAAAATAGTGCGATGATGATTTATCGTCCTTTAAAGGCAAAACGTACAACGCAATAATACCACGTAAAATCAATGACGTTTGTCGCATTCAACGTGTAGCCCCGGTAGCCCACGGAAGCTGTTCTATTCCTGATGCTTATGAATTCTAATGTTATTACAAACACAGCAGCCACGTCTAGCGCTGTACACACACACACACACATACACACACACACACACACACAGAGGGGGAGAGAGAGAGAGAGAGAGAGAGAGAG